ATAATAACTATTATTATTATTATTTAACATTATTATTATCATTGTTGTTATTATTTAATATTACTATTATTATTATTATTATTATTAAAACATAATAATTATTTAACATTTTATTATTATTATTATGCATAAAAAAGATTTTTAACAATACTAAATGTAATTTTTTAAAATAAAATAATAAAAATCTAAGATGACATTTTTATTATTATTATTATTTACAAGTATGGGGGGAAATTAAAAGGCCATGACATATCTTTGGATCTTTAAACTATAATTTTGAGTAAAATGTTTATATATATATATATATATATATTTTTTTTTTTTTTACATTTATTGCAGATTTCTAAAACATTATGTTTTTATTTACAGTTGCTCAGAATAACAAATGTTTTAATTATTTAACTTTTTAAAATATTAATGTTTTATCTTATTTTATGGAACAAAAAAAGGCTTTAAATGACAATTTAATTGTGAAAGAAATGTTATTAGAAGATAAAAGATATAAGAATTATGAGGTATTGAAACTATTATGTTTAGAAATGTGTTGAAAAAAAATCTCTCCGTTGAACAGAAATTGGGGGAAATTTTCAGGAGGGCTAATAATTCAGACTTCAACTGTATATATTAACATCAAGATACAGGTATTTTAACCAGGGTCTGGCTATATATAGATACATATATTCGGTCCTGAAGCAGTGGCCCTGTCAAAGTTGAGAGACCCTGGTTTAAAGGATATCCTGATGTTAATGCAATGAGAGAAAAAGTGAGAGAAGAAACAGATTGTCTGGGGAAGAGAAAGATATGAGTTACAATTCTATTGTTCAAGAGCTCTCTCTCTTTCTTTCTCTCTCTCTCTCTCTCTCTCTCTCTCTGAGCTGACAGCTTATTGGAAATACTGGAGAGCATGTCAATCACAGACATACTGAGTGAGTGTGTGTGTGTCTTTTTAGTGGTCCAGCCTTCAGTTCATGCGCTCCATACTTATTTTTCATTCCTTTATAACCAGCTCCGCCACGTTCACCTCTATATCCATATTTATGCATGTAATCAGATCATATTTTTGCCCAGGCCGTGCATGAATATATATATCACAAATATGGAATATTGAGACGTGTTTATACTGAGGTGTCTCTCTTTCCTCTATACAGTAGGGGTTTCTGTGGTTTCCATTCTTTGGCTCTCAGAAAAACTTCATTCATTCCTCTCGTATCACTCCACTGCCTCTAATAACAAAATCATTTCAGCTCAGATCAATGTTTCAAGTGCATTTATTTATTTATTTGGCAAGAACATGGGCGGTTTGCCATCATCATAGCTAAATAATCCCTTTTAAGCTGTCTAATTAAGTTATGTGGTTTTATTTTAGCAGTAATGGCCAGCAAAGAGAAGATATTTTTATTAAAATGTGATCAGATCACAAGTGCTCAGCTGAGATTAATATTAATATGCAGCTCATTTGCATATTCTCTTACATTTTATTTAAGCATTCAGCACATGATTTTATCCAAACAATGTATAATAGAGGATCATAAGCAATTTACATTCATTAAAGATGCATTTAAAATCAGTAATGCACTGAAATAAAAATTCACTACAATGAGAATTCAGGAAAGTGCTATAAACTTTTTAATATGTGTATTCTTTGTAATGGTATAACAATACCTTAAAGGGGACCTATTATGCAAAAGTTACATTTATAAGCAGCTAAAACACAGTTGAGTGCCAAAAGAGTGTGAATGTAACCAGCTGCTTATAGTAAATATTTATACATTTTATTTTTTATAAATCACACTTGATAAAAAGTCTGCAGAAACACTTTGATTGACATTCTCCTTTTGTGCTATAAGAGGGGAAAAGCCCCGCCCACTAGTGACGATCTCTCTTTCATCAGCATAGGGCGTTAGTCTAGTTTTTGAATCTACAACTATGCTGGCACATGAGCATTTGTAGCCCCGCCCTCTTTTGAAAAGAGAATTTGAATATAAAGCGACAGTCACCAAAATGCCACAATTAGGATTAAAGCCTAAAAGGATGTTTCAGAGAGTTATAAAACATTATGTGTGTGGTATTTTGAGCTGAAACCTCACATGCACACTCTAAGGACATCGGAGACTTATTTTACATCTTGTAAAAAGAGGCATGATCGGTCTCCTTTAAATATTTTTATACATTTTACCTAAACACTAAAATTGAAATTTTATGAAAAACAATTTAAATCTAATTTTTATTTAAGAACCAACACCCAAATAACAATGTGCTCCACCGAGCTCAGGCTCCCCTCTCGCTCTGCCAACGGGAGGAAGCCCCGAGCTCAAGGATCCCTTGAGCTCAGGGCTCTCTCCCGGGACAGCATGTCAAACAAGCTTTTTATAGATCATCAGCTAAGTGTGAACTCTTGAAATACAGTACAAGTAAACTGATGTAGGTTGCCAAGAATGATCCACATCCCAGTCTACACAGTCTGCATTACTGGACTGACCTATGACTTAACTATAACGCCTCAAAAAAAAAAAAAACTTTTCAATACATTCATTTTTTTTGGAGTCAATAATCAAAAAATTAAATATCGTTTAGCAGGACAAAAACGTCTGAGAGAGAGAGAAAGAGCTTTGGAACAAAATCTCTGTGTGGACGAAGGGCCAAACAATGCATGTTCAAATGTATCTGGATTAATGCAGATTTAAGCCTAAGTGCAAGAATCCTGCTTGAACGCCCACTAGTTAAACCTAAAAGTCTTTCGCTGCATTTTGATAAAACCAAAGCTAAATAATAATAATGAAAACACACACAGGCTTACTTTTTCCTTTTTTAATGCATGTTTTATGCACTCGGACATGCGCCAAATACGAAGCCAGTGAAACATTTTGAAATATTACTCAACAAAGGGATTGCTGCTGTTTGCTCCATCTCTTTCTCTCTGTTGTTCTGTATATGTGCTGAGAGTGGGATTATTCACAAGATGAAAGAGAGGAGAGATGGAAAAAAAACCTCTTATCTGTGCCAGACAGCAGTGCTTTTTTACACACACACACACACACACACACACACACACACACACACACACACACACACACACACACACACACACACACACACACACAGTAAAACTACAACTATATTTCACAAACAGTCAGAGTGTTCATCTATGCAAATCTCACTAGCACTAAACTAGTCGGTTTCTGGGTGACTGTGATCATCTTATAATCAATTTTTAAGATTTTGTTGGGTAGGTTTTCAAATAGGATCAGCTACAGGAGAATATTGGATATGAGGCGAGGTTTACAAACATTATTGGTGAAACCCTAATTATTGTTATTATTATTAGGCCTTTATTTATCCAGTAAAGAACCTGAGTGTATCCTGACTGTGATATACAGTGGGTGACAGTTCAATATGACCATTACCGCCGTATGTGACGCTGAGTCAGGACTAATGCCAAGTTCTGATAGTCTGTGTAAGGAAATGCAAGGCAATTATCAAATCCAGGCATGACACTGTATGACAAAGTTTCAGATGACTGTTCTAGAGCCTACTACAAATATCTTAAATAAAACAAATACATTTATAGAAATGGTATATCAGTATATAATATAACTCACCTGGGAAACGGAAGCCACGTGAATGGTTTGTGAGCATAATTAAGTGCACACAGCATGCCATATCATCTGATAATTGTAAGAAATAATTTCAATAGACAACTGACTGCGTGAATCTACATAAAACAACACAAAAATACAATGTATATGCCGAGTTCAGCAGCTAATCAGCCGGAATCAGCTGATATGAAGTGACGTGACCAGCGAGACTTAGCTGTCACTCAAGTGACCACGCCTTTAATTATGCAGACTCAATTTTCTTAACTAAAAAAAGCTGAAACGGTGAGTTATAAAAAAAATATCCACCCCTTCACAGTTGTCATGAAGGGTAATGTCAGTTATATGCACCAAAATAATCTTTTGTACCAGGCTGTAGACATGTTTTCAACAGCTGTAAAAATGGCCAATTTAGCATTGCAGTCAGTGAATATCTGGAGTTCCTGGACCAAAGGCGAGTCGATGAATTGCAGTTTCAGTTGCTTCAGTATTGGCTTCACAAGAGAAAGCAGGATGTTGCCACCTGGTATGAATGTGAGTATGTGTGGGTGTTTCCCAGTACTGGGTTGCAGCTGGAAGGGCATTCACTTTGTAAAACATATTCTGGAATAGTTGTTGGTTCATTCCGCTGTGGCAACCCCTGATAAATAAGGGACTAAGCCAAAGGAAAATAAATGAATATTATAGTCATTCATCAATTTTAGAGATACCAGAAATGCATAAAAGGACATGATCACAACTGTGACCATTCATTCATTCATTCATCCATTCATTCATCCATTTACTCATTCACTCATTCATTCAATCATTCGTTCCTTCGTTCGTTCGTTCATTCGTTCGTTCATTCATTCATTCATTCATTCGTTCATTCATTTATTCGTTCATTCATTCATTCATTTCCCTAGGCTTAGTCCCTTATATATCAGGGGTTGGTATGTACCACCAAGTATTTGAGCATTTGTTTTACGCAGCGGATGCCCTTCCAGCTGCAACCCAGTACTGGGAAACACCCACACACATTCACTAAGGGCAATTTTGTTTACCCAATTCACCTATAGTGCGTGTGTTTGGACTGTGGGGGGAAACCGCAGCACCCGGAGAAAAATCACGCCAAAATGAGGAGAACATGCGAACATCATACAGAAATGCCAGCTGACCCAGCTGGGACTCGAACCAGCAACCTCCTTGCTGTGAGGCATATATGCTAACCACTGAGTGATCATGCCGCCCCAATTGTGACCAGTGAGATTAAATGAGTTAAAACAATAAATCGGATCTCCCTTTAGATCATCTCACTGAGGAGCTTTTTGTGGGATTAAAACAAAAGCAATAATCCAGAGATTACAATCCGAGCGTTTGCTGAAACAACAGTCCTTATCCGTCATCTTCTCTCTTTCTCTTATGTAGGAGAAATCTGTGGTTTCCACGTGCAGGGCCTCAGCGCTCCATTTGAGGCTGTGCTTCTGAACGGGACTTCCGGAGAGGGCCGGCTGCGGGCACGAGGGCCGATCGACTGCGAACGACACCGAGAATTCAGCTTCATCATTCAGGCTCACGACTGTGGCACAGGACCACAGGGCCACGGACAGAAGAGATCGCATAAGTCAGTGTGTGTGTGTGTGTGTGTGTGTGTGTGTGTGTGTGTGTGTGTTTGTGTGTGCGTTGAAAACATAGTGATTCATGTTTGTCAGATGTTTTTAAGCTCTAAAAGGAACACAGTGAACTATTTCGCAAATGAATCATGCTTGACTCACCTTTTTCCTTACTCTCAGGGTTCATCTTAAATTAGTTGTTTGGCTACTCTTAGAAATCCCCTGCACTTACAGTTGGGTAGATGAGGCTTTTATAATATACAGTGGTGTGCAAAAGTGGTGGCCTAAGACTTCTGCAGTACTGTGTGTATGTGTGTATTTGATTCATTTTAGCTTCTTTATTAAAGGGATACACTCAAAAATAAACCCTTTTGCTGTGCTTGCTCAAAGTAAGGCTTTAAGGACAACTAAGGCCCAATCCCAATTCTATTTTGTACCTCTTCTCCTTGGCCCTTGAAACAGAGTGTGAAGGGGAAGGGCTTCAAAATTTACCCATAAGAAATGAGACAGCACTACAACACCTGCACACGTCATCATGATCTCTTGCTTCATGAGATCAGACAATCGCGACTGCTGTAGTTATTCTAGTAGTGTTATTTTTTGGTATTTATCTTCAGTAAATGACTGAAGGCAAATATTATGTCATCATAACGATCTAATGTGGCAATAAGATCGTAACTGTACAGTGTAGTTATTGATACAGTGGCCATATTCATCTATGTAAACACACCAAAACAACATTAACATCATAGCAGACACTGTGAAAAGATCATTCTCAGCCACTAGACTTTTCTGACAGGGTATTTGAATGTCACCGGGTGTCAAAATGTTGTGGGACTGCTATACAGGAGTTATTATTAGGGATTATAGATAGACAAATTTAGAGGTTTTTTCAAAAGCATGATGGTAAAACACGAATGTGGTTACGAATGTATTAAAACATGTGCTTGTCTGTTGTAAAATTTCGTAATAATGACAAAAAAATACTAATCTCCTTACTTCTGGGTGCAGCCATGCTGCTGTTGTAGATGGTGTATTCTGGGAAATTTTCTCACCCCTTGGTTTCGAGTGTGGTCCTGAAAAATCTCATTTTCAAGGGGTTTCTACCACTTCCCCTTAGCCCTACGCCTTCAAACTAAAGAGAATTGGGAAACCCCTACCCTTTCATCTGAAAGTGCAAAATAAACAGGGGGGCTAGTAATTCTGACTTCAACTGTATGTCTCTTTATTTAAACAGGTAAAAGAAAAAACATTGAGATTAAGATTTCATCGACAAGGGTAACCTGTGAGAAAAATGGGCTGTTGTTGTTTGTTATAAAGGATAGAGTGGACTGATTTATTTAGTATGAGCTCAGACATTTTATTTGTTTTCCAAGTGAATCCCATACTGCCTTTATAATATTATATTATAGTCCGTTTTCACGTTTCTGTTGGGTAAAATTAGAAGGCAGTGAATAGGAGAGTACCACAAATTATTATTATTTCTGCATTCTAATGTGCTCAAATGACAAAAAAAAAAAAAAAACACATAAGTGACTTTCAACAAAAGCAAAAATTTGACAGACTGATAACATTGCCAGATGAAATACAATATTACAATAATATTAATTGTAATATTAAAATCAAACAATATTAAATGGATTATAAATATATTAGCACAATATTAAATGTACTTTCCTTTGCATAGACACTGCATTAGAAACACCTCACATAAGTTAACTAGTTTTTGTGTGTGTGTGTGTGTGTGTGTGTGTGTGTGTGTGTGTGTGTGTGTGTGTGTGTGTACGTGTTTTTGTGACATATCAGGACACAAATCTGTATAATGACATGGGTATGACACAGGTATTACAAAAAAGAGGTGAAATATGAGGACATTGGTGACGTCCTCATTTCTCAAAATGCTTATAAATACTACAGAATGAGTTTAATCATGGAGTAAAGCTGCACACAGTCTTCTGTGATGGTTGGGTTTTGGGGTGGGGTTGGGTGAGGGTAATACAATATACAGTTTGGACAGCATAAAATGAATGGAAACCTATGTAATGTCCCCACTTTTCACAAAAACAAACGTGTGTGTGTGTGTGTGTGTGTGTGTGTGTGTGTGTGTGTGTGTGTGTGTGTGTTTCAATGCAAAAATAATATAATTCGAAGTATAGCTTTATAAATGTACATACATTTTATTAAATCCAAATATAAAACTTTGAGGCTTTAAGATGCTGATGACCTTTAAACGCATCCTCATCACCATCTTGTGAAAAGGCTCAGATAATAAAATGTTTGTTTTTTTCTCTCCCCAAATATGCTTTCACAGCATTAGCAGTGTGTTTGAGATCATTATCATGCTGAAAAATAAAACCATTACCAACGAGGTGCTTTCTAGAAGAAACAGCATAATGGATTAAAACCTGCCTGTACTTTCAGCATTCACGATTACAACAATTCAGACAATACTGCTAACAGGACTGGCAGAAATGCAGCACAAACCAGTGCACTGTTCCTGTGTGTTTTACTCAAGGCTGCAAGCACTCAATCTTCAACTCTGTCTTTCACATGTCGCAAATGATTCAACAAAAATGTTCTGTATTTTCTGGTTGTAATTTATTGAGGAGAATCAGAAATAACTACTGTATATATGGCCATTATTCCATCACTAAAATAACGAAAGCAATGTTGGCCTAAAACCTTTGCACAGTCTGTATAGATTTAGAGTGTACTCACACCATGTACAGTTGCCTTAAACCGAGCCAAAGCATGCTTGTCCCCCTTCACGTCTCCCCCGGCGGCCCGCACTCACATGACATTCAGGCCTGGGCTCGATTATGTCATCGATGATGCGCTGGTTAACATGTGCTTTCGCTCAGCACAGTGGAGATTTCTCTAGTTATATCGTTTAAGTCATTTGGAATACAGTGACACACGGTCAAATATTTCGCCAAACATATCAGCCACTTTTGACGCTCATAAACAATCATAAAGTCCTCGTGCTGCAGGAATTAGGAGGTTTGCTGAAGGTGTAGCTGTCGTGCAGTGAGGGGTTTGCGTCTTTAATAAACTACGACAGCTTACGTACACTAAACAGTAAGAATGATTAATAAATCCATATGAAACAGTCCCTTAAAAGTCACGTCTCACTTTCAGTTTTAAGCTCAGGCACGATTTGCACTCACACTACAAGCGTACTGCGCCAAATCCCAAGTGAACCGCGCCTGAGCCCGATACAGAGCTCTCACACTTCTCAAACGTTCCGGGAAACCGGCCTGGGCCCGGATAGCATAGTGTGAGTACGCCCTTGTACTACTTTTCAATAGTAACAACTTATTCTAAAAAATGCTGCATTTAGGTGAATAAATAACAGTAATATTGAGTAATATTTTAAGATAAAAAATTACTTATATTCTATTTGAATACAGTTTGAAATATTATTTATTCTTGTCAAACAAAGCTGTATTTTCAGCATCATCTCTCTAGTCTTCAGTTTAACATGATCCTTAAGAAATCTTTTTGATTTGGTGATAAAGCAACATTTCTGAAAATTATAAATATTTGCTGTTATCAGCAGCACAGTGGCTCACTGGTTAGCACTGTCACCTTACACTAAGAAGGTCGCTGGTTCGAGCATTTCTGTGTGGAGTTTGCATGTTCTCCCCACAGTCTGAACATGTGCGATATATTTTAATTGAATAAGCTAAATTGGCAGGTGTGTGTGTTTCACAGTAATGTGTTGCGCTGTAAGGGCATCTGCTGCGTAACACATATGCTGGAATAGTTGGCGGTTCATTCCGCAGTGGTGACCACTTATAAATAAGGGTATAACGCTGTACAGCTGAACTGAAACGAATTAATTAATGAATGATGTTATCTAACATCTATTGACAGTAAAACACTACTGAAACAATTGGGGTACGATTAAAAAAAGACGAATCAAAATGACAGTAAGACTTACAATTATATTTTAAATAAATGTTTAAATAATAATAATAAAAATAATAATAATAATAATAATAAAACATTTTTGTTCATTCAAATATCTTAAACAAAAGTATGTGTGTTTGTGTACGTGTATATAATTTGTCATTTTGCATTGTTTCATAAGTTGTTGAGGAATTCGGCTATTACCATTTTTCATAATCATGTTTACTAAAAACACAAAGTTTGTCCAAAAAGAAGTTTTTAAGCGCTTAAGCAAATGAAAGCAGATTCGACTCTTTTACCTCTTTTACAAGACAACTCTTTTACCTGCAGATATGACATAAAGATGCTTTAATAGATATTTAATTCAAAGAGGAAAGTCTTAAGTCACATTAAAACTAACCAGGTTTGTAATAAAAAAGGAAAACCTTACAGAAGAGCAAGAAGGACCTTCCTCATTACCCCTTTTATCCGGACAGGATTACTATATTCAGCTCTGATCTCTGACACACACACAAACACGTACATGCGCACACACACACAAACGCATAAATATGTGTGTATGCGTGTGTATGTTCTGATTTTTACCGTAATAACACAGATTAGCAGGGGTGTTTGTAATCTCGTCAAGCTGCCCTTTGCGATAGATTGCTCATATTTCACGCTGTGTTTAAAGTGAATGATGTAAGCTGGTTATTTGGTATTTTCAGCTGGTAAAAGTGTGTCAGGCCTGGCCGTGAGGAAACCTTGAGGCACTTTCTTTTTTTTTTTTTTAAATATCTTTCTCTCCCCAAAGACTTTTCTAAGACTTTATAATGACCTGTAAGACAGAGAAATAAGAATTGAGATCTCTTTAGTATGTGCACAGTTTCTCCTGGACACTGATGGAGAATGAGTGGAGACTTCTGGAGAATCTCCTCTAAAGCCAAGGTCACCATTTACTTCAGATTCAGACCACAAATCAGCTGTCATATATTAATATTATTCCAGACACAAGTTTCACAATGATAAAAAGAGACTCTGTGTTCGGTTAATTATGCTAGTTGGGTAATTTCCAGACATATGTGGCAACAGTGTGTGAATATAACCACCTTCTAATGGTAAAAACTTCTAAATCTTTTTATGAACACACTTGATAAAAACTGTCTGCAGACACACTTTGATTGACATTCTCTCTTTGTACGTGTCATCAGAGAGGAAAGTCCCACCCATTAGTGATGTTCTCCCTCAATAGCATAGGAACTGATGTGAAACTTTACATGCACACTCATATATCAGAGACTTATTTTACTTATTATATCTTGTAAAAAGGGGCATGATAGATCCCCTCTGTAGGCTATGGATAAAACTCAAATCATTCAAATTTGAAAGCATTTTGGCTTCCCAGTAAAATATAATGATGATAGAAAAAGTTGTGGTGGGACCTGCCTAAATGATTTCTTAAGATATTAATTAAATGTGTTTTCTGCCACTGTTTGTTTAGCCTGCAATAATGCATTCAGATCAAATTAAATAAAATTTGATTTAACTGTCCAAATGTGAAAAAAAATTGTTTTTACTCTCTGATAGTCAAAGCAAGGAAAAAAAATGTCTATGTTATATATGCATTAAAAAAAAACATTCAGGAAAAAAAGAGTTTTATGTAAATTCGTACCACAAGTCCACATATATGGACATAATTTTTCCTCTAAAAGTATATCATATCAAAAGATGATACTTGGATTTATTCTAATTAGGTTCCGATAAGCCCAAATAGCAAAGAGAAATACAAAATGCATGTTAAAAAAACACCTTGGGCCTTAAGAAGACATAAGATCGTGATCTCAATTCAAATCATGAAAGATAAATGGTAATGATTTCCATATGTTTATTAACTCTTCGAAGCGCTGCATTCAAATCTGTTTTTGATCGAGAAAGATTCAGTTTTTACTGTTTTTCAGTTCGTTACAAACAATTAAATGACAAAGAAGTACTGGAGAACAGTTAATAGTTCAGATATTAACACTGATGTTTATGGTAAAGATTAAAATCACTGTTTAATAGAACTTGACGCTGGTGAATGTTGTAGCAATTACATTGTGTAACCAACAGGTGGCGACAAACAACCATTAAATTAAGTCACTGAATAGGTTTTAAAAAATTATCCACCTATAATGAAACATGACGTTTTATGTGTGAATTGTTGAATCGTTAATTGAAAATAAATTTGATCTGTTGTAAAAAATGTAAGATGTCTATATTTAGCATTATCAGCAACAGTAGCAAAGATTATTTTTGTATTGAATATTTTCCTTTTTTTTCAGCTGGTCTTTCTTGATTAAATTTTTTTCAAAATTACAGGCTCTAATTTATGTTTGTTGAAAATCAATGGTTTTAGCTGTAATATTTTTGTCTAAATGGAAAGCTATTTACATTTGTCTCCTCCCTTTTTTGCTGAAGCAAAAAAATAGTACGATCCCTGACTCAAAAACTGTAGTGTGATTCGAACCGTGAGATTTGTGATCCGTTACAGCAATTTTAATAGTTTAATAAAATAAAATGTAATTTTTTACATTGTCTCAGAACCCCCAGGGAACCACTGACCTAAAATTAGCAACGTGACTAGTAATATAAAATATGGCAATTGTAGACATTTAGCCTTTGATCCTACACTGTAAAAAATGATATGATCAATTAGTCATGGCAGCATATGCTTTAGTTCATTGTAACTTACAATTTAATTATGTTCTAACTTAATTTAAGTTGGGCAAGCTGTTTTTAGTCAGTTTAACATAATCAAAGTTCAATGGACTTGTAAGTAACCTCATAAGGTTAATTAGATTCAGCAACCAGGATTTTTTTTTTACAGTGTAACTGTGTCACTTTAAATTCAAATGAGATTGCTCTCCTTTTCAAAAGAGTATGGAGCTACAAATGCCTGTGTGTCAGCATAGTGGCAGATTCCAAAACAAGACTAACGTCTTATGCTAATGAGGGAGAGATGGTCACTAATAGGTGAGGCTTTCCCCCTCTGATAACATTTATAGAGAGAAATCAATCAATTAAAGTGTTTCTGCAGACTGTTTTTAATCAAGTGTGATTATAAAAATTAAAAAAAAATTTAATTGAATTTGCTTAAAAATAAATTACATATGCACAGAAACACCTCTAACATTGCCTGCAGGGCTGAACTGGGTTTATACCCGCTGAATTTGGAGATTCAGAAGCAAGCTGTTCAGTTCCAGCCTGATCTCACGAGAAAACGTAACTGTTTTACGTTTGGCCAGTTTAGTCGTACGAAATTGTACGATTTTAAAAAGGAGGCGTAGCACCTAACCCTACCCCTGAACCCAACCGTCATTGGGGGATGAGCAAATTGTACTAATTGACTTAGATCATACAAATTCATATGAATTAGCCACTAAATCAAAAAGTTACGAATTGCCGTGAGATTGTGTAGTCAGTTTTGGCTGCACCTGCCAAACATTAATTAATTTTTTATTTAAAATGACTCATACCATGACTTACCAAAAACTTTGCCATGTACTCGGAGAGGATAAATTGACGTCTAATCTAGCTGAAAAAATTGTATACACCCTAAACACCATAAGAATTTGTTAATGTAAATTCATGTATCTTATTTAAATAATCTAGACTTTATTGTATTATTTTTATTATTATTATTATTATTATTATTATTGTATCATTATAATTATTAAATGTATTATCTGCCTTTTCTTTTTCTGTCATTAATTTCGTATTTACTGTATATGTTATTAGTTTGATGATGTTAATATATTGCATTTAAAATGCTTTGGCAATACTGTACTAAATGTCATGCCAATAAAGCAACTTGATACATTTTTATCATTAAAAGCTGGTTATATTCACAGACCATTGTCTGTATATTATCTAATTGTTCATTTAAATCGTCTATGTTTGTGGATTTGTTTTCTGGATAATGTTTTGTTTGTGTTTTTCAGGGCAGCGGTGCGTGTGCAGGTGGGAGATGTGAATGAGTTTTCTCCAGTGTTTGGTCAGCTGGAGTATCACGGCTCAGTGACGGAGGGTAAAGTGTATGACAGTATCCTGCAGGTTCAGGCATCAGATCAGGACTGTTCTCCACAATATAGCCAAATCTGCAACTACCAGATCACCTCGCCGGACACAGCCTTCGCTGTGGATCGCAACGGTCAGCAAACACACACACAAATGCTCACTCACATCTACTGACACGTGCCATATTCATATTTCTGCAGATTTTGAGCTCATTATTGAGTCTATTTATTTACTTGAGTAAACGTGTGTAAACTTATATTTATTCAGTTTTTACATTCATTTCGGTAATATTGTTGACTGAAAATGTTCATACGATTTATTTACGATACACTTTGTAAAGTAATAATTTCTGTCCTATAGTAGATTTATAATATGAGAAGACTTGATTTATTTACAAAATAAGTGGATCTAAGAGGATTTGCATAGTAAACATTAAATAAAAGCACACACCTTTTTATGTCCTATATTAAGACTCCCAAAATCATTCCACAAATTTTTTAGAAAAAAAAACATCCACAGATTCTGTCTGTCCAAGCTTTTATTTGACCTCTAATTCCAGCATTTGAGAATTTCCCAAAGGGTCAAGTCAGGACATCCCACTTATCATTTGAAGAGGGAAGTTCAGCTATATGTGTGGCACAAGATTCTGTGAAATGATCCTCATGTAGTAAACTGTTGGATTAAAACACCGGCATAGGGAGAGTTTTACATGCCAAAATCTACTGCAGAGAGACTGGAGAGTGATGAGATATTAAAATATTGTGGTATTTAGATAAAAATCCTAGAGGATAGTTTAGTACACAAACAGACTTCATTAAACGTACACATAGACATCACAAAAAAACAACTTTATATAAAGTATTAAATACATTTCAGTAGTTTAGTTAAAATCTTGATGGTTCTGTGGGTCTCGTGTATCAAATCTGATCTTTAATGTGTATTTTATATTGGATTTAAGTCAGGTGATTGGCTGGGCCATTCTACAGCTTGATTTTCTTTCTCTGAAAGCATTTGAGAGTTTCCTTGGTTGTGTTTGGGGCTATTGTCTTTCCGAAATGTTTCATCTTCATCATCCTGCTAATGTAGATGTTGGACTGAAGCAGCTCATATTCATTTACAGTGACGAAAGGCAGAGGGTTGCTGAATAACTCCTGAGAGATTTCAGCTGCTGCCTGGGTCTTTCTACACCTCCCTTTCTTCATGTGCTCAATGCTTTTTCTCTCTGTCATTTCATTTTATTACACCTTAACTTCATTTGCAAACTAATTTAATTTTTTTTCCTTTTACATATGGATTTATTTGGTTGTTACCATCATCTGGAGAAAATTTTAAGTCAACAGCTTCTTTAGAAATGTTTTTTGAGAGTAATGGTGATGTGTTCAATTCTTATTTCTGTATATAATAACTTATATTTGATTGTAACTTTAACTTAATTTGATTGTAATGTAATAATGTGCAACTTAGTAAATCTGCTTTTAAACATTAATTATTGCAAAATACAAACTCAAATTGAATTTGTAATCAGTTAGAAGAAAGTCAGTTCTTGTGTATTATGAGTTATGAGTATAACATGCCATATACAAATGAAAAAGTTTTTTTGCGTGCAGGAAACATCAGGAACACTGAGAGTCTGAGCTTTGAGAAGAAATCGCACTATAAGATTCGTGTGACGGCACTGGATTGTGGTCAGAAGAGAGCGATGCAGGAAGCGATCGTGCACATCCATGTGAAGCCCATCTGCAAACCTGGATGGCAGGGTAAGGTTTGGACAGGTTTTTGTCTTAGATGCATATTGCAGAATGATGAAATATTGCTTTATGCAAATCTGGGAGACAAGATGCAGTGCTGCACCAGGGAATAGAATCATATTAACAATATACCAGATACAATGCATTATCTACGACTCATTTATTGTTTTGTTTTTGTTTTTTTTGTGCTGGATTTGCTGTAAAATTATTTGGTTTAAAAGTTTGAAATTATTATGCATTTTTATCTGCATTTTATTAGTATTAACTTTTTTTTTTTAATCTAATATGTTTAGTTATTACAATTTTAGCTTAGTTTAGTTTCAGTCATTTTACTCTGTGTATTTTTCTAAACTAAAATTTTAGTTTAGTTTCTACCTAAAACTTACTTGGTGCTATTTTAAAATGTATCTATATAGTTATATTATTAATAGTTAAAATGGTTTGCAGTTTGTTTGTTTTTTTGTTTTTTTTTTGCTTTTATTTCGATTTTGGGGTTTTTGAGCTTGTCAATTTGTTTTTTTTATTTTATTTTTTTTAGATATTTCTTAAATTTTTATAGTAAAAAAAACATAATAAAAATGTATAAAAATCTGTATTATATTTTATTAAATTATTAGTAATCTTCTTTAGCAATTGTTTTCAACTTAAACCTAATGTTTTTGAGTGCAATTTTAAATTTTCTTCTATAATTTAACCTATTATTTTATGCAATATTATTATTATTAAATGCTACCACTTTTATTTACTTTTTTGGCTGTATAAGCTAAGACTTATAACTATTATATCAAGTATTTCAGATAACTTATATAATTTCAGATCATTTATTTATTCATTCATTTTTTTTCGGCTTAGTCCCTTTGTTAATCTGGAGTCGCCACAGCAGAATGAACTGCCAACTTATCCAGCAAACGCATTGGATGCCCTTCCAGCCACAACCCATCACTGGGATACATACTTTCATTCACACACTTGCACACTACGGACAATTTTAGCTTACCCAATTCACCTGTACCACAAGTCTTTAGACTTCTGGAGGAAACCGGAGCACAGGAAACCCACACGAACACAGGGAGAGCAAACTCCACACAGAAATGCCAACTGACCCAGCCGAGGCTCGAATCAGCGACCTTCTTGCTGTGAGGCAAACTTGCTACCCTCTGCACCACTGCGCTGCCCCAGATAATTTATAATTTCAGTCCAAATTGCATGTTTTTATAATAAACTGAGGTTTGTGACTCCATCAGAAACCTTCAGATTCAGATTTGTTAATTGCTTAATTTGAGCTCAAACACAATGACATTCAGTTAGTTACTCCTCAACACTATGTCCATGTTCACTTATTTCATTAATTTGATAAATCAAAATAACGAAACCCAATGTAAAATTCAATGTCAGTGAATGCACAATTGATTCACAATTAAATCTAAAACTTGTAAAAGCTTGCAGTGGAGAAAACACAGGTCTGTGGGAATAGATCCATACATGTTCTGGGAACATGTACGGGCGCAGCCATGTGAAATCTTTTTGGCTCATGACTCTTGTCTCAGTCACTTCTAGGAGTTTAGAAAAGCTTGTTCTGCTGCTTGATGTTGCATACGTATATTTTGAACATATGAACACACATGTTTGTGGGGCAAGTATTGTGACCATTTTCTGACATTTATTGTTCCTAGTTATTTCTCTCACAGGCAACTCAATTGGAAGTTCCAAAGCAATCGAAAAACCAAGCACTTCTGCATTGCATAAATAAAGCCAATATGACAGCAGACCAGTCTAAAACACATGATCTTTATAGGGGTATCTCAAAGACGTTATGATTTTTATTATATACAAACTGTATATTCTATACCCTTCACCTAAACCCAACTCACAGTAAACAATGTGCAATTTTACATCTGCAACACACTTCATTCTGTGTGATTTGGGAACTGCTGTCCTTATGGGGACCACAATTGTCCCTCCAAGGTCAAAAGTAACTGATATTGCTATACTTGTGGGGACATTTGTTCTCTGCAACATAAGAAATACAAAGCACACACACACACAGTGCAACTCTGTCCTTTGATTTTCCCGTCCCTCTCTCTTTTCCCTTAAAGCTATTTTTGTTTGCTTTTAAACTCAATATAATGCTGCCCCCCTCCCGTCTCTCTCTGGATCTCCTTCCTGTAGGTTTCAGCTTTCTGTTTTGCTTTTGATTGCCACAGGAGGCTTACATCAAAATTAACACACACTCTTTCATATGATCGCCAGCATGATGCAGAATGCACTTTCTTTAAAAGCTCCTGGTATCACTTTTACTTCGGCTAGACGTGCACTGAAAATAAATATTCAGATTCTCTTAATCGTTGTCAGGTTGTGCTGTGCAAACATTTTTAAAAAATCTGAATCCTCATAATGCATTTGAAATCTGTGTGCTGTTTTTGATTTCTGAGGTCTTTTTGAACTTGAATCAAATTATTTTAATAATAATAATTAATAAAGGTGACGCAGTGGCGCAGTAGGTAGTGCTGACGCCTCACAGCAAGAAAGTCACTGGTTCGAGCCTCAGCCGGGTCAGTTGGCGTTTCTGTGTGGAGTTTGCATGTTCTCCCTTCATTTATGTGGGTTTCATCTGGGTGCTCCGGTTTCCCCCACAGTCCAAAGACATGCAGTACAGGTGAATTGGATAGCCTAAAGTGTCCATAGTGTATGTGTGTGAATGAGTGTGTATTGGTTTCCCAGTGATTAGTTGCAGCTAGAAGACATGCTGCGTAAAACATGCTGGATAAGTTGACGGTTAATTCTGCAGTGGCAACCCTGGATTAATAAAGGGACTAAGCCAAAAAGAAAATGAATGAATGAATGATAATTAATAAAAGAATCTTAACTTGATATTTTGCACCTTAAACAATATTGCATCCAACTGCTCTCTTAAACGAGTGAAAAAAATATCTAAATAAATGAAAATTGTTACACTCTTAAAAATAAAAGTGCCATGAAAAACTTTTCACTAAAAACTTATTCAAAACCATTTAAGAACCATTATATTGCGAGAAGAACAATTTAAAAAAATAAAGTGAGTAAAGTTTTTGGGGGTGAAAAGTTTGCGTGGATCTTCATGGAACCATCTATGCCAACAAAGAGAATTGTACTATAGAATGTACCATATGTTTTACCATGATATTACTGAATTGAACTGTTGGGGCCCTATCATACACCCAGTGCAATAAAGCGCAAGACGTATTTGGCATGACTTATTGCTATTTTCAGACCAGCTCAACCCTAATTTTCACATTTTGCACCACGTTATTTGAAAAGCAAATCCATTTGCGCCACTTGGGACTCATGGGTGTTCCGGTCTGAAAAGGAGGTGTGTTAAAGGAGGTGTGGAAAGGAGGTGTGTTAAAACGCATTGTTGGCATGTTGCCAATTTGAGGAACTATAATGAACCATTGAGCAACTAAAAGCTGGTCTAAAGCCTTTATTATGTGCCTATGCAGGTCCAAACGCTTACACGTTGCTTAATAGACACTGGATGTGCAGCGATACACAAATATCTTCACATATGAAAAAAAATTAAAGGATAAAAAATGTTACAGAAATGTCCCGCTCCGGCCTGGTTTTATTCTGCACCCAATTGCTCTCACCATATAGTCAGCCTTTTTTCACCCACTGCCCGACCCGCCTAGTTCCGTAATAGAAATTTAGATCTGTTTTTTAAAATCTCACATTAAAATTAGGCACTACCAAAAGAGACAAATAACACATAAACGTGTAGGTTGCGTAAGGATTGTAGGCTAAGGACGTACTCACACTATGTACAGTTGCCTTGAACCGGGCCAAAGCACACTTGTCCCCCTTCCCAAAGAGAATGGGAGATGAGACTCTGATTGGTTTAATGCATGTTAGAGTGTAGTTTTCCATCCTTAAAATAACAAAAATAAATATGGACATACCCTTAATGCTTTTGAGCCATGCACATACACAACATGCTTAGATTGTTAAAATTGAGCCCTTTGTGTTAATTAAATATTTAATTTATTGTTTTAAAATTTCTAAATTATTTATGGATTAAACCAAATTATGTATGAACAACACACAAAGCAAAAGTTTATGATGCAAAATGCATATAATCTGAATACAATAGATGGAATTAATACAATTTAATGGTATTTCTAAATAATTTATACCTCAACACTGCTTAAAAACTGACCAGACTCATGAAAATGTCATGAAATAATATAAATATGACTCTGCCTGATCTTGTCAATGTTCCACGATTTCCTAAATCATATTAAAGAGGTCTTTTCATTTGCAAATATTTATGCAAAACTTCCTTATTAAAAGTTTAAGTGCTGATTCCAAATCAGTTTGATGTTAGTGTTTGGTTCATTGATCATTCAGGGTTCATGCAAACTCCAATAAGCTATGGTTTATTTCTAGTCTGGCTTAGTTTGTGAAAGTCAACTGTTATCAGTATCATACAATATGCCTAATACAGAATAATGCATTTCTCATTGCTGCTCCTCTCTGCGGAAATTGTCTTCAATAATAGAGCTTGTGTTCTCCTTCAGTCTGTTCACATACACAAGAGCGCACACATGCACACACGCACACGCACACGCACACGCACACGCACACGCACACACACACACACACACACACACACACACACATATTTCATTCTGTGCATGCTGAGAAGTAAACAAAAGCAACAAAGGCATTATATTATGTTCAAAATTAAGTTCCTTTTTTGAAGTAATTTCTAGAAATTACAGTGCAAAACAGTCTTTGCTAGTTCTCCCAGTGGTTAGTTCTCTTGCTCATTGACATACTACAGTTTGGATAATGCGATTAATACAGGAAAACAGGAAAATAGATATAGGAATACATATTTAGGTATCCAGAACCAAATCCCAGTTCAAATCAAACAACCAAAGTGTGAAAATAACCTAAATGGTTTTATGGATATGAATGTGAAAATATGGGGTAACACTTGACTTAAAGGGGTGTTCATAAGGCACATGTCC